TTCTCGTCTCAATAAGCAAATGCTTCATCTGTTTGTTCCTCATGTGAGCCACACACTTGTCCGGCTGTAACTCGCTGTCTCACACCTGTACAGGTGCACAGCTTGAGTCTTAAGGGGAACCTTCCTGAGAGTGTCACTCAAGCAACACTTAAGTGACTGTGCTTAAGCAGACGAGGAGTCACAATAACGTGGCTGAAATATGTTGACCAAACCACACACTAGAAAGTGAAGGGACGACGACGTTTCGGTCCATCTTGGATCATTCTCAAGTCGAGTGAGACTGTGCTTGAGGTAACGAATACGCGACTACAGACGTAGTACAAGAGCTTTGGTTCTTCTGCGTTGCTGAGCACCTAATTAGCAGTTTGACATTCCCCAGTTGCTGTTGTTATAGTGAAGACTGACAGAACTGTGGAACGGCACTTCTCATAAGTCTAGGAGGCGGTCTCGACTGGGTAACATCTAATCTCTACTCATTTGATATGGGGTGGATACAGCCTATGAAGATGCTGACGAGTGCTTTGGTGAAACACGACCTTTAGTGACAAGCGTCTTGGCCATTAAGCTAGTCAAATGAATTCTGCTAAGTCAGTTTTTATACTTGCTGCTTCACTTCCTTCTGTTCACCACCTTTCCTACCTTTCACCTCTTCCCTACCCTTCACCACCTCTACCTTTCACCGCCATCCCCAGCCTTCACATCTTCCCTACCCTTCACCCTCGTACCTACCTATCACTGCCTTCTTTACCCTTTACCACCTTTTCTACCCTTTATCCTCTTCCCAACCCATCACCACCTTCCCTAGTCTTCACCACCTTCCCTATCATTCGCGAACCTCCCCAAGTCACCCTATGGGTTGGAAATTGGCGTCTTCTAGTGTTCCCATATATAAGTTAGCAAAGGGACCCCCCATGGATGCTGCGTCTATCTGCGTATACTCTTCTCCCCAAGAAGTTGTGAGTGGGGGCATCCTGGAGCAAATCTCCTGACCATTACAGACTCTGGAACGTCTAGCGTGGCAGTACAGCCGTTACGGGAAACTCTAAGATTAAGTTGGTGGCATTAAGAGGGACGTTCGTTGATAGGGAGACGACGTCAAGACGTCTGCTGCAGGTGGTAGTGACCCTGGACCAGCTGCAGGTGGTTGTCACCCTGGACCTGCTGCAGGTGGTAGTGACCTTGGACCAGCTCCAGGTGGTTGTCACCCTGGACCTGCTGCAGGTGGTAGTGACCCTGGACCAGCTCCAGGTGGTTGTCACCCTGGACCTGCTGCAGGTGGTAGTGACCCTGGACCAGCTCCAGGTGGTTGTCACCCTGGACCTGCTGCAGGTGGTAGTGACCCTGGACCAGCTCCAGGTGGTTGTCACCCTGGACCTGCTGCAGGTGGTAGTGACCCTGGACCAGCTCCAGGTGGTTGTCGCCCTGGACCTGCTGCAGGTGGTAGTGACCCTGGACCAGCTCCAGGTGGTAGTCACCCTGGACCTGCTGCAGGTGGTAGTGACCCTGGACCAGCTCCAGGTGGTAGTCACCCTGGACCTGCTGCAGGTGGTAGTGACCCTGGACCAGCTCCAGGTGGTTGTCACCCTGGACCTGCTGCAGGTGGTAGTGACCCTGGACCAGCTCCAGGTGGTAGTCACCCTGGACCTGCTGCAGGTGGTTGTCACCCTGGACCTGCTGCAGGTGGTAGTGACCCTGGACCAGCTCCAGGTGGTAGTCACCCTGGACCTGCTGCAGGTGGTTGTCACCCTGGACCAGCTCCAGGTGGTAGTCACCCTGGACCTGCTGCAGGTGGTTGTCACCCTGGACCAGCTCCAGGTGGTTGCTGCCCTTTTTCTGATAAACTGCATCGGTTATTCACGACTTTCTTCTTTACGACGACAGATAACCAGAAATCTACAGATTTTCTTTAGTCATGTTCCTGGTTATCTTTCTGAATTTGGTCCCATCATGGGGGGATATCCTTGTTGACATATTCAGCAGTCGGGATGAGGACGATGGCTGCGTTTTTATTGTGTCTCCGGATTGTGATGTTCTCCATGGACTAAAGTTACTTGCCCGCTACTTTGTGTATATATCCCAGTGTTAGGTGTGGAGTGGCCTGTCTCCTTGTGTACTTCTGCTAGGAGTTACCCGTGAAGGGAAGCAGTGGTGGGGATTTTATTTCGGGTCTTCTAGTTTAAGTGTGTCGTCTAGTAACAATTCTATCTGCAGTCTCTTGTGGTCAGGTCTTGAGTTGGAGAGGGAGTGACAATGGCGTCGGTAAATTGTCTATACAGTATACCTAGGTCATAAAAGTATTTGTGTGTACGTCTCATACCATACTACATGTTTAAAGGAGGAAATGTATATGTTTATCTCTCAGAATGTTCGGTAATATGTTTATTGTTTGTGATGTGTGTCTATGTATATAGTCTAACGCCCCAAAAAGCATATACAATGTACTGAAAGGGGTGAGAATAGCTTGAGCTACCTCCTCCCTTTATGTGTATTTTACCTCAAT